AAGTCTATACAATCATTTCATAAGGTTTCAAAATGTTGTTTAAGTCAAAATATCAAAATATCAATTTTCAAAGTCCTTTTTCGAAACCAGTCGTTGTAGCATGTTTATTAGCATGTCTACAATCATTCCCCAAAGTTTTACATTTTTTGGAATTTATTTGATATTTTTAAACAGGGTTTTAAAATCAGCTTTTAGATATGTCAGTTTTCGGTCGACCGAACCGGTCGACCGAACCTGAGGTCAAAAGTTCACTGGGCGACAGAGAGCTGTCGGTCGACCGGTCCGGTCGACCGATGAAAATTTCCGGTCGACCGACGAATTTTTCGGTCGACCGACGATGTTGTTTTCAGCTTCCAACGGCTAGTTTTTTGACCGTTGCCTTGGGGCTGTTTTTGTCTTTTGCTCAGGTTTTTGACTGAATTCTTGGGAGGCTATATATACCCCCATTGCATTCAATTCTATAAGCTATGAGAATATTTTAAAGAGTTTTTTAAAAGAGGTTTAAGCTTGTTTTTAAGCTTGTTTAAGGGTTTGGTTTAAAGCAGTTTTAGCTTTCACAAGTGGAGGAGATTATCTTATTGTTTGGGCTTCAAATCTCCATCTCTCCATCTTGATCTTGAGAAGTTTTCTAAACTCAAACTCTAGCTTTACATTTATATACTTGTTTGATTATCATTGTTCCTAAGCTAGATTTTATATTTGAGTTTAGTTTGATTTTGATTTCACTCATTGTTACACACACCCACTTGAGCTTATTGTATTTGCATACATAGTATATTAGGGTTGTGAGAGATTGTAACATTGAGTTGTGCTTAATTGAGTTCTCACCTATTGTAGAGAACAAATTTATATTTGTTACATTGTGAGTGTTGTTAGGTTTTCGGTGAGCTAGAAACCGTAGTGTGTTGTGAAGTTTTCGGTGAACTAGAAACCGAGTGTGAGGAGTGAACGTTGTTCGGTGAGCGTTGAAAACCGACACTGTGTGGTTGTAAACGTTATTCGGGTGAGCGTAGAAAACCCGGTCGTGATAGTGGATTTCTCCCCGGGAGTGGGGAGCGGAGACGTAGGACGGAAGGTCCGAACTCCGTGATCATATAGTGTGTTTGAGTGTGCTTTGGCGTTCATTTATATTCATGCTCATATCTTATATCGCCATTTCCATTAGCTCTTTATTTATATGATCCACTATCTAGTTCATATTGTTTACCATTGTGTTAGTTTTCATATCCTTGCATATAACTCATAATATATTTCATCATATAGGATATATCACTTTGTGTATATTGCTTATTCTTGCTTATAACTCTTGTATATCTATCTTGCAAGAATACAACTTGTTAATTAATTTTAATTGGCATTTAATCGGATTAGATTAGCATAAGACCCTAATCACCCCCCCTCTAGGGTCTAACAAAACTTCTTATAGATCATCCTCTTCTGGGCCATAGTCACCTTGGAGTGAATCCCCCGCCAGGAGGGCTCATCGATCAAAGGGTTTAGAAGCTATTAAGGATTGTAGAGATGCTCGCCAAAAGAGATGAACGGAGAAGATTTTGGATTCTCTAAAGGGAATTTGAAGAGATAATAGCCGCCACCCTTATGACCTTATTCCTATATATAGGCGGCTAGCTTTACAACCGTCAAAATTCAAATGGTCGGATCAAGTCCTGTCCAACAGCTAAGATTAATTGTCAGAATCCGAAGCACCTCTCTGAGATCGAGGTGCAGCTCACTACCTCGAACATCCCATAATTTGCCAAGAAAAACGGAGCTATGGCAGTCAAAAGGAATGTAGGGTGACGTCAGCCATGTCAAATCTAAAGAGACTTTTTAGTTATTCAATACACATTCAAGTCCGTCCAAAAGCTAATTTGATTCTACTTAGACCTGACTCAAGCCAACTCCAAGCGAAAGGGGCCAACTGTTATGGTGTTCCTATTCGCCAAAAAGCAACCCATGGCCAAGAAAAGGACATGTGTACTGCATACTATGTCCCAATCAAGTTTGTGGGACGACACTCAGTCGACTTGTCGAGTCGACATTCCCTCATGTCGACTCAAAAGATGGTACTTGTCGCCTCCTTCTTAGAAGACGACTCGCTACGAGCTCACTCGACCATTTGCTGGGCACCTCGTGAGGACTACTCGAAAGACGTTACTTCTCGGCGAAGTTAAAGGATAAACTTCTGCCTCAAGCCTCTCCCACTGGCAACGTGCCTACATCGCATTTAATATATGACATACGTATCATGCCTCTAGGCTCGATAACCTTCATGACTTATCGGACCACGCAGGCACCGCCATGCCCCCCAATCACTTCCTATTTAATACTGAGCTGATCTCTCATCAAGTCGCCAGCCGATACCTGTAAAGTAGGTGCTGACTCATCTGCCAGCCCACACTTCGCCGCCACCCTCCTGTGCTCGGTCGAAGTGATAGGTCTACCCTTATACCCTAGGTATAAATAGAGGTACTATTCTATCTTTATAGAGGTTCACAAATCTGATCTTTAAACAGTCATACTGTACACAAGAACACACACAATTCTTTATCTTTCCCCATTCAAGTTCATCAGCTAACTTGATCATCGGAGGAACCACGGGGGAACCAAACCTATCCTCTCACGAGCTTCTACTTGTGCAGATTGATCAACCACACTCAAAGAACCAGACATAAAGTCAGGAAGAAAGCGATCTCTCATCAATACTCAACAACACCATCCAACCACAGATATTACTGACTGTGTGATCACTAGTACATCAACAGCTTCTACTGTTTATTAAAAGCTACTACATTGCACTAGCTATTTCCTCATAACCTGCTTATTCACGTAGGTTTGGTCCACTACAGTTAGACTCACTTTGTTACCTGAAGAAGGGGTCCACAAATAGGGTTAAATGTAAGGTATTGAAGATATTTGCTTTACTCCTCACCTTTTATTTTGCCTTACGAGCATTAGACCATGTTCTAACCTCAATCAAAGTGTTTGATCTGTGCTCAAGGCACATGGCTAAACTAAAAAAAATTAGTCAATTGATTTGATTTTTCTATCATCAACATACTAGGATTAATGAGTATTTGTCGTTGATCAGGAGCTCTTTTTTTTCCTTGATTTGGTTAGTTTCGCGTTAAAATATGTGACCTGCAAGCTTAAAATTTAGATTATTATCAAACACATTATTTTGTTTTTCATTTTCATGTCACAAATTTGCGGTTAAACGTGGGATTGATCCATCATGATTGCCTTAAAGTATGCTAATTTCAACAAAATTTATGTCTAACCAAACAAAATTTGGTTGGATTTTACTTCTCATACAAATACTCTTTAATATCCATTGCAAAATAAACAAGTTGTTGCACATGGATTTTTCTTGATCCATAGTAAGCACCAAAGTATAATCCACAAACCGAACAACCCCTTACAACCCCTTAGTTCTCTAAATTTCTTTCGTCTTTCTCTCAATCTCCTCTGCTAAGAAATTATTTGAGGAATTCTATGTCTTCAAATTATATTCTTGAAACAATCCCATTAATATTTTCACCAATAAATGCTTTAAATCTTTTGCTAATTCCTACTTTAAAATTTTAGAAATTACTTATTTGATTCAATTCTTACTCTTACACCTCCGTTGGTACGCGTGATTGGAGTAAGTGAGAATGCCTCCTTTGGTACGCGGGGTTGAAGTAAGTGAGAATGGAATGTGGGTAGGACTAAAATAGAATTGATGTGGGAATGAAAATTTATTTTCATTCTCATGCTTGGGTGTGATTTAAGAAGTAAGTGGAAATATCTTTAAGAATGATATATTTAGAGTTTAATTTATTTTTTCATTCCCATTTAAGTGGGAATATCAATTCTTTAATAAGTCATTGGGAAAAACAATTTCCATATCAAGTGAGAATTGATGAAAAATAAAAAATGTCATTTTTGTTGAAATCTAAAAGTCATTTTGTGGAAACCTAAAAGACAAAATGAATGTGGACATTACATTGAA